CCGCGGAGAGTTCACAAGCCTGACGGCCGGCCAGCGCCCTAGAGGAACATGGTTCTGCCGGGCTTCCTCCCGCCAGGCGGCGTGTCTGGGCAGGAGCAGCCGCGTCGTCAGTCTCCTTGCCAGGGCGATAGGCTCTGGAGGTTCCTGCCCACCACAGCCCACCTCTTCCCTCCCTTTGATTTCAGATACGTCCGGCCCGGGGGCGGCTTTGTCCCAAACTTCCAGCTCTTTCAGAAAGGGGATGGGAATGGGGAGAAGGAGCAGAAGTTCTACACCTTCCTGAAGGTGCGTGCCTGCCCACGCGTCGTCAGTCTCCTTGCCAGGGCGATAGGCTCTGGAGGTTCCTGCCCACCACAGCCCACCTCTTCCCTCCCTTTGATTTCAGATACGTCCGGCCCGGGGGCGGCTTTGTCCCAAACTTCCAGCTCTTTCAGAAAGGGGATGGGAATGGGGAGAAGGAGCAGAAGTTCTACACCTTCCTGAAGGTGCGTGCCTGCCCACCCCCTGCCCCCGGGCGCACCCTCAGGGCTGGGGGAGCAAGGTGAGGGCAGCCCCAGCGTCATGGATGCTTACCCCTCGCTCTCCTCACAGAACTCCTGCCCGCCCGTGGTGGAAAGCTTCGGCGACCCCAAAAGGCTCTTCTGGGAACCCCTGAAGGTCCATGACATCAAGTGGAACTTTGAGAAGTTCCTGGTCGGCCCCACGGGGCAGCCTGTGATGAGGTGGAGCCCCCGGACGAACATGGCCGCGGTGAAGAACGACATCGTGGATTACATGAGGCGGCAGGCCTTCCTCCTGGGGCGGCAGCAGGAGGGCAGGGAACGCTAATGCAGAGATGCGAGCGGCGAGGTGAGGTGGGACTCAATGCTTTATCCATAGCCAACGGTCACCCCGCAAAGCACCCACACCCCCCATGCAAGATCCCTTCTGTGCTGTCAATAGGGGTGGACTCTCTGGAAGGGCACTAGGCTCTACAGACGCCTCTGTAGAGACAGGGCCTGGCCACCACTTCCTATAGACCGGTCCTGGGGAACACAGGCAGTCAAAACCATTGGATTGCTGCCAGTCATCTGTCTCCATGGGGCGTCCCCTCCCCACGATGCAGCCCTCAGCCCTGCCTGCCAGTCTTAACCGGCTCTTCTCCCCTGCCACCTCGTTAGCCTAGCCTCCCCCTCCCTGGAGAAACACGCGGGAGGGGAAAAGACTCCTTGCATCCCATGTGCAGCCTCCCGTTGCTCCCTCAGGAACAGACTCCCACGGGAAGCCTCACCTATTTATTTAGCAGTCCCGCCCTTCACTGGCCGCCCTTGGAGCCGACCTCACTGTACATTGGCCTCTGCCGTCCCCATAGGTTGGGCTGCTCCGGCTCTTGCCCCGGACCCGTGACAGATGGGCTTGGATAACGTGCATCGTCTCACCCCTCCCCACCCAGCCGGCCACCCCGGGGAACCTCTCCTGCAGCCCTCGGCTCTTCAGAGGGCGAGGCCTCCCGCGCTGCTGTATGCTTGGGCGCAGGTGCGTGAGAGCCGGGCCGGGGCTCCGGGCACTAGGAGAAGGCATCACCGTGAAGGCCAGGTCTGAAAGCCCCCAAAGGGTGGACTTGGCCCAAGCCTGTGGGGGTGCAGAGCGGCCCTTCCAGTGCATTCAGTCGCTCTGCAGGTTCCTCCGCAGGGATGCGCTCTCCTCCCCCCCCAGGGAACCCAGCTCCTCCTCCCACGCCCGCCCACAGCCTGTGTAGAGCTGTAGCCATGCAAAATAAACACCTGTGCAAACGTGCCGGGGCGCCTGGTTTTTTGCAGCCTTCCCTTCTCCCCTGGGCTTCAGCACCAGCTCCCGTCCCACCAGGCATCCGACGACAACCCCGTGACAAGGCCTTTCAGACATTGCAAGGGCCTGGGCCCTGTGGCAGCGATGGGGGACCATGGCTTGGACTCTCCGTCACAGAGGAAGGGAAGGTGTGCCACCTGCCGCCCGCCCCGCTGCTTCCTGTTCAGCATGAACCCTCCACCACACAGCATCCAAGGACTCCCCTTCCTCCTACCGACCCTAGCCCCGCCCCACACCGGCAGGCTGAGCAGATAGGGGCAGGCCCCACACTGGGCCCAGAGACCCACCAGTCAGATGGCTCCGGAGCTCACCGGCAGGGAGCAGAACAGCCCCTGTCCCTGCTGCCCCTGTACCGAGAGGGCCAGGCCTGAGGGAGATGGGCCTGGCTCAAAACATAGAAAGCTCTGCTCCCGTGAAAGGAAGCCTCTGGCTGCTCCCGCCCCACCAGCTATTATCCCAGCGTGTGGCATGGGCTCACGCACCATCTGCAGGGGAGGGAGACACTGGTCTGAGAGTCCCCCGGTAGCAGATGACATGCACACGGAGTGGAGGGGGAATAGTTTCTGGCCAGGGAGGCTTGACAAATGCCAGGGAAGAAGCACCATTGCCGTCAATTTAGACCCCACCCTAACACCATCGCTCCACGCCAGAGACGCTTTGCCGGGCATCTCCGCTACGCCAGAACACAAGGAGACAAAGCAAACCCACAGCGGGTAACATCTCAGCCGGATAGTCTCCAGATCGTTTATTAAGGATTCTTGCAAAGGAATAATTATCATTACAATTCAAAGTCATTTTCTGCACAGAAACAAACCAACCTGTTTCACAGATTTCTACAAAAGATGCACGTATTTCTGGGGTATACATCTGCCACGTAGGAGGGCTGGAGGGGGAGGGGGGATAAAGCATCGTTTGCCAGGATATTTGCTATTTAGGCTGCATTTCAAAACCTAGGCTGAGTGGCTGGATTTGTACCAGTTTAAAATATTAGCATGTGTTAGCTGTGTGGGCAAAAAGGATTGTGAAACATCCCAGATACATGGTAATGGTCTTCTCTGTGTGAGGAACCCACGGGGATTGGGGTAAGAAGTCAGCCCCCTTCACCCCTGTTCAGCTGCAATAACTGCGGTTCTGCGCATAGCAAACACACAGCAGAGCTAGAGAAAGGAAGCCCCGAGCTAGAGAGGCGTTTCATGTTGAATCCAAACGCACAAACTAGGTAGAGGTCATTCTTCGGACTGGCTTCCATCTGGAGCCGGGCTGGTGTGTCACATACACGAATCCAGCCCAGAGTTCCACAGATCCAGGTCTCGCTCCGGAGCTGGGATGTAGCCCCCGTGCACAGAGCAAAGGGACAAGAGGCTGCGTTTCGGAGCCACGCTGGAAAAAGCTATCCACAAGGAGAACTGGACAGTCACAGAGGGACTCGAGGGGCCCACAGAGCGGAGTGAGCGAGTCAGGGGAGATCAGACCACAGGGCGTTTTACACCCGTGCACGTCACCTTACAGCTGGTGTCTTGTCTGCAAGAGGCACATTCACGGTGACAGTACAGCCATGCCCAGCCTGTTCCTAGAACTGGGCTTTTGTTGTTGGAGTGGGGCAAGTAGGTCAGATTTGAGCCAAAGGAACAAGCCCATTCAGGCACAACCCTCTATGGACGAGGCCCTACAGATGGGCAAAGCCACCGTGGTAGCCTGGGTCACACTGGCGGCCTTGTCTCCACACCCCATGGCCAAATCCCTCCCACACAGGCGGCAGCATGACGGAGCACTTCCAGCTCCCTAAATCACTCACGGGGGCCGCTCACGTGAACCAGAGACCAGCTCTGTAAACAGCGCTGTTCAGTCAACAGCCTGACCCCCTCGGTGGTGTGCCGCTGGCTCCAGAGGCAGGTGGTTGGGGAGGCTGGAGCCTCGATATCGCGGACAACAATCCAGTGAATGCACCCTATGGATTGGAACAGGCGCAGAGTCAACAAGCAGACAGATCAGCGGGCCTCCCCTACCGCAAACTCCATCGGGGTTTAAATTCACACCCTCTGGTTTATGCGGCAGATTTAAATGGAGAGCGTGCACGCGCAGACAGGGGGTGTGTTAAAACATCTACCAGTACAGAGGCACGATACACAAGCCAACTATCCGGCCTTTGCTCCAGCTTCGGAGCGATTTAAGGAGCTGGGGGTGCTACCTCATTCGCTGTCATTCCAGTACCCCGCTGTGACGGGGTTTAGTGCCTTTCCAAGGACTGACCGCATCTTGGGAGGGAGGGGTCCCTGCACATCTCAGAACAGAAACCCAAGCAGACAGAACAAGGGCGGGGCACACATGAGGTGGGGGTTTTCTCCGCAGGGCCGACCAGCTGGAGCGGCTCCTCTTCTTCCCCTCAAGTTGTTAAACAGGAGCGAGAACGGCAGAGGCTAGCGGCTGCTCCCCAGAAATAGCCCACACCGCTAACAGAGAACTGGAGGGACCGGGGAGGTGACGTCCACAAGGAAAGGAGAGGCGAGAGTCCCCCGCAAAGCACACGTTACGCGTCAGCATGGACACACACCGGATTTATTACCAACAATCCACAGCACACGCGGCACGTACACAAGAACAGACACTCCAGCCTCCTCTGGGAGAGCACAGGGCCTCCCCAGCACCCGAGGGATCAGAACCCTGGTCATTCCTTCCCTGTCCTCAGACCTGGTTTCATCGCCACCGTTTTCTTTGGAAGGTCCCATCACTCCTCCAGGAGGAAACAGCAAGTTCTCCCAGCCTCCAGTTCAGCATACGCCAGCACGTGGCCTGCAACAGCTACCCCGGGGAGCCCGCGGAGCAAGGCAAACCAGGGCACAGGCCCAGTGGGCTAAACAAGATGGCATAGAACCAGTCTGGCTGGGCCCCCAAACTCATGTCTGTGGTTTGCTGCTCCCCGGCGGTTTCCTTCTCCCCCCTGCGGCCCCAGTCCAGAAAGGTCGTCTAGCACACGCTTGCCTTGGAGCAGGTGAGAAGTCCCACGGACTTCAAAGCGCACCCGATGTAGGACGTGTGCCCAAGTACCTGGCTGAATGGGGCCCTGAAATATGAACTCTGCTGAAACGCGGCTCCCCGCTCTGTTGGGGACGCGGGAGAAGAGGGCAGACCTGCTCCCTGGGAGCAATAAAAGCAGGGTAATGGCACACCGCAGCCCTGGGGCTCCTGGATCGCGCCGAGACTGGCTGGTGAGATCAGTCTGAAGAGACTGAGGGTTGCCATGCGGTGTATAGACAGCAAGCGTGTATCTATAGGTATGTACAGAGGGCCGGGCGGTATCTACATGGCGCACGCGCTACATGCCAGAGGGTCTATGGAGAGCCCAGACCCGTTTACATTTGGCCCCTGGAGGCGGGTGTTGAAAAGCCATTCAAGCTCGTGCGCTCGTTCTCCGTTCCAGAGCCTTCCCCGCTAAGTGACAGACAAACGGCTTCCTTTGAACAATGGAAACACACAGGGCTCTCCAGGGAATTAGACGTGGGTTTAGCGGGCATCCCTGGGAAGAGCTCTGCTAGTTATGGGATTGGATAGGGCAGCTCTCCCCATCACTATTCGGCAGGAAAAGTCTCACACACGTTCAACTACCAACGCCTCCACCGAAGGCTCTGTTGGAACATGGGAAACAGGAGGCTCCCCGCAGGGGCTCCCCTTAGCCGAAGAAAGGCTGGGAGTCGATTAAAACCAAAGTGGCGGATGAGGAACAAGGTAACTGGACGGGGCTGTAACCCCTGGAGGCCGGACTCCAGGAAGCACCCAGCAGCGGCTTCCTTGCCAGTTGCTCCTCCACTCCTCCCAAGAGCACGGGGAGGTCTCTCTTCAGTGGCTCCCGAGGGAGACGTTCCAGACCGTCAAGGATCTGCCGTTATATACACAGGGCGTGAGCACGGATGAGTAGCAGGAGGCAGGCTCTCTACATACACGGGCACCTCCCTCCCACCCTGCTCTTCTGCTGACATCAGCCCACAGCTAAACCGGCCTTTGGGGTTTCGGTAACCCAAGCCCTGCAGGCTCTGAAAGACAGAAAACACCCACATTGCGTAAGGGTTGCTCCTGGCACACTTTAGCGCCAGTCAAACATTCCGCGGCAGCACCCCCTGTCGGGACACAGGGCTGCCGGGGGCCTCTCAGCGACCGTTCCCGTCAGCTCTGAGAGGCGCTTTCGCATTCCTGAGCCGCAGGGGCAGAGGCCTGCAAGCTCCCCCACACCCCACTCTCTCAGAGCATCTCAGTCGGCTCCGTTACAGCCCCCGAGCACACGCTACCCATCATGCAGTGGGCCTGGGCTAAGGACACACCAGCGCCAAGCTGGTCTCACCTGCGCCCACTGCCACGGGACCACAGCGCGAACGGTAGCCAGTCAGGGGCTCTCGCGCAGCACCCAGGCCAGCAGACGGACATGGGTAAGCAGTGCCTCCTTACCGGGTTCCTTGGGCAGCGGTTTCACTCCCTCCACTGCTTGGGAGTTCTGGGTCCTTGACACAGCACAAGGTGGGCGCCAGGCATATTCTGGCTGAGAGAGAGAGGGAGGAACGGGACCGCGTGAGGGGGGACGTGAAACGGGAGGGCTCAGGTTCTGTGCAGAACGACTTGGCAGGAGGGAAGAAGGGGGCGGAAGGAGGATAGGCCAGTGGCTAGGCCCCTGGTTCAGTTCCCTGCTCCATTAGACTTCCTGCGCGACCTCGGGCAAGTCACGCAGTTGCTGTGTGCCTCAGTTTCCCCCTGTACAACGGGGCAATGGAATCTCCTTGCCTCCCCGGGATGGATGCATTCAAGAACATGAGAACCTCGATACTCTCGCACAGGGGGCCAGATAAGCACCTGCATAGCTAGACGAGGGCGAGGGAAGTCTCAGCGAGGTAGGACAGACACTGACATTTTTGTTCTCCAGCGGTGCAAGTCCCCACTCCTGAGGCCCCCCCCCCCCCCGCGCATCTGTGGACCACCAGCAGCGTGTGCAGTCGTTGCACATGCAGCCCCCGGCTTGAGCGTGCAGCCACGGTGACTGCACGCGTACGGTGTGCTCAGCTGCACTCCCTCCAGGATAAGCAAGGTGGCGCATCCCGATGGGCGGGGGATGGGGTGGCCAGGTTGCCATCGGGGGATGGTGTGACAGGCACACCCCCAGATGCTGCAGGAGGGGCTGGGCGGTGCATGCATGGAGTAGGGATGGGCCCAGCCTTATGCCTTCCCAAGGGGGTACTCACAGGAGGGAAGTGATGGAAGTTTTGCACTGGTGGGTGCTCGCCTGGCATGGCGGACGGCGGGTACCGGATTTGCTGCCAGTCCTCATAGCCGCGGTAGACGTGGTGGGGCCCGGGCGGGCTGTACTGGAACTGGTACACGGGGCAGGCAGGGCCGAGGGGCCCCTGGAGCGGCTCTGGGTGCAACCTCTCTCCGGAAACCTGCAAGAGGGGCAGATTCAGGAGCCAGGCCAAGACGGCTCAGCTTACGCGGCTCCCCTTCCACCCAGCTGTGCAAGTCCCTGTAGCACCTGGGCACCACCCGCCCTGATCCCGGGCTCTGGCCAAGAGGCACTCGGCACACGATCCTAGACCGAGGCAAAGGAGCCTGTAAGATGCCTTCATGTCCTCGGATCCCCAAACCCGCCAAGGGCAGGTTCAATCCCTGATCCCTTCCAGCAACCTCAGTGCTGTGGCAGGTCCCGCCCCCTTGCCAACACCCTCTGTGCAGGGGGCAGCAGGCAGAGGGTGCACTGGTAAGTGGCAGGGCTCCCTAACAGCGCACACGAGCCAGGGCACCTGGACCCCAGGGTGGCCAGGCTTATGCTGACCCCTCCCAGCCTCTGCACCTGTGCATGGGGCTCACATCCCTCTGACCAACGCCCAGAGCTGCTTCTGCCCACCGCCCTCCCTACCTGCTTGTGCTGCTTCAGCAGCTTCTTCAGTTTCTCCTTCTCCTCCTTCTCCCTCTGATAGTCGTCCTTAAAAACCCGCAGCTGGAGGAGAGACGGGCCAGGGTCAGAGCGGACAGGGAACTCGCTGCAGCCTCTGTGCTGCCTTGCAGGCACTGGGTAAG